AGCACACGTTTGGTCAAAGGGTGGGCTTCACTTGTCTCTTTGACGAGTTGTAATATGGTGCTACGAATGGTAAAACTCACTGACGATACCGGCGAAACGTCAGGGAATGCACCACATCCACGGTCCGGCTTTGGAAATAATTATGCATACAATGGACTCAGGGCAGTGCGCATTCCTCTAAGTCTTCCTACCAATATGACCAAGTTGCGAAAACAACGTCAAACAACTTCAATTTTATGTTAAACCTAATCATCATATTTTGGGAAAATGCACCTACTATCCCTACATCCTCTTGCACAAACTATGCTGATAGTGTAAAACGATAAACATTACATGTACAATCACTCCAACCATCCATATCACATCGGTTTGTCCATCGAGTTGTTTCATCGAATGCCTAAACGCTAAATTTTCACTCCTATGTATTTTCGAGCACCTGTCTTTGAGAATTGGCAAAAGTATAGCGTATAGCAGGTAAAAGGATCTAATTTAAAATTAAAAGTTTTTTGGCTACTTGGTCAACTTAATGATGATATGAGCTTGGCTTTCAAGTACAGGTGCGCCAATCTTTATTGAACCATAACATTTTATGTCCTCATAAGATCATTCTGACAATAAATAATTATGCATCCTAAAATTTTATTCTTTTTTTAGACAAGGAATCTACTGTACTCCTCAGCTTGCACCTGTCTTGCTCAGTCCTACTTCATCTGCCTATTTATTACCAGTCTAATTTTAAGTCCATTTCCTGCTTCTTCTTGGACCGGATTCCAGGACCCTAAGCCAGTATTCAATGAAGGGGTTTTTGATGAGTTGCCGCCAAGCATGATCCAGGAATTAAGATATTCAGAAGTTCCTTTACACCAAATAGGTGGCGGAAAAAGCAAACGGTTGAGCTGCATTATCCTATTACTCGAAGAGGTGGAGCCGGTACATCAAACACCGTCTAGAGGTAGACAGTTGTTGAGAAAGCGCAAGGGAATACCGTACAACGGTGGCATTTTTGGTTAGCCATCCAAATTTTCATAAAACACCATACCATTCAGAAATCGCAAAGTGGCTAATTAACTAACTTACTTTCTAATTTGCGAAGACCAAACGTCTGCCTAAATATATACATATATGAATGAATAAACAAATAAATATTCTAATTATTATTTCGCCAATTCACAAAGAATGTATGTGCTAGTTCAAATGAACTTTATGACGAAAAAACTAAGTATAATGATATGAATGAAAAATTTTAGAAACAATACCTAGTAAGAAATAAAAAACAATGAAATAATACTGAGCCGTACTAACCACTGACAGATTAGAGGTTCATATACTGTTTGTAAATACGCGCCTAATGGATAAAGGAGGCATAATTTTATATTGCATTTTACTAAGCA